GGGTTTCTGAGACTGCAGCAGTTGTGGGAGTAAGCTGGAGAAAGCTGAAGATGCCTGCTTTGCAAGGATTTACAGCCTTGGAAAACCCAGGGTGCGGTTCTGTTTGGCCCCATAGAGTGGCTGTGAGTGAGAATCGACCTGGGGGCAGTGGACTTGGCTTTGGTTGTAGTCTTCTGGAGGAGCAGGTGGCCAAGTCACTTCTCCCACACATCCACCAACCTTTCAGTTAGCTCCTTTGAAGCAAGGGTGGTGAGACTTGGTCTTATGCACTTGGGCCATAGTAACAGGAGGGGGAAATGCCTGGAGAAGGACATCATGCTTTGTAAAGTTCAAACCAACAGACAAACAAGCTCACTGCCATCAAGTGGATTCCAACTCTGTAAGACAAGGTAGAACTGCCCTTGTGGGTTTCCAAGACTCTCCCTCGAAGTGGTTGGTGGTTTCGAACTGTTGACTGTAAGGTAGTCGAGAGGTGCCAGAAACCAAATTGGTCGAATTAGAGCAAACAGGCTTAATTGGGGAGAAAAACCCAGCCTGGGCGGAGTTCCACGGTCCACAGTGTCCGGGTGCAGGGAGTCACGCCCCAGGCTATAGCGGTGGTGCTTATATGGCCAGGGAACATGTGACTGGGCTGTCTTGAGTCCATATAAGGTAAAGTAGTCAGGGATTGGGATGTACAGGTATGTCCGGGTTTCTGGAATGTAAGGTGTCTTCCTGGTTTCCGGTGTATTTGTGCCGGGTGCAGAGCGGCGGGCCGAAAACAAAGCGGGCACAGAGCCAAACGGGCCATGCTGAGTGCGGGCACTGAGCCAGACGGGCCGTGCTGGGTGCAGAGCGGCGGGTCAAGAATATAACGGGCCATTAGCCAGCTCTGGTCAGCTCCGCAGGTGTGTGTGGGAGATTCAAGGTCACTTGCTGCTAGTTGTTTCAGCTAGCTCTGGTCAGCTCCACACAGGTGGGGGAGATTCAAGGTCACTTGTTGCTAGAAGCCGGCCTGGTATTGATCCCCCCATACATTGACCTTGAGGTTCATAAGCCCAATGCATAAATACAACGCCACCAGAGCTCCTGTTTGTGAAGTTAAGGGACAGCATAGAAAGAGAAAGAGGCCTTCATTGAGATGAACTGACACAAGGGCCCAGCGATGGGCTCAGACGCAGCAGCAATGATCGTGACGATTGCACAGGGCTGGGCAGTGTTCCGTTTCGTTGACCAGTGGTTGCTATCCGTCGAAACCACCTGGGCAGCACTTAACTAAGAATTGACGGGTTAGGTACAGCTTTTGCTCCAGGACCTGTTACATTTATTATATCTCATACTTCTCTGGGTGGTTCTTCTGGTCTGAGCTGGTTTGGCTATTCGTTACAGTCGTCTAGAGCGGAATAGCCCAGCACTGTGTAATCCACATGTTCAGTGATTGTCAGACTGGGCTAGGTTGGGGTCCACATGATCTCTTATCCTCCAGGAAGTTGGAGCAGGCTTCTTCACGTGATGCTTTCAAGGTTGCTTAGAGCATGGAGAGAGGGCAAGCCCCATCTGCAAATGCTTTTCAAGACATTGCTTGAATCGTGTCCTTTGATATCTCATTGACCAAAGCAAGTCACGTGTCCAAACTTGGACTAGCAAGGCCGTTTTTATAACTACCATAGTCGAGGACGTACGGAAAGAGCTGAGTATCAAGGACAGACCTTAAAGCCCTAACATTTAATAAAAGGAAGTTAGGGCTTATAGAAGTAAAATATCTATGTGGCCAACAGACCAATGAATCAAAATAGAAGAAAAGAAAGGGTTGAAATAGCAGTGAAAGAAAAAGAATAGAGTTTGGTCAGACAAGTGACAAATCGAGGTCAAATTAGGAAAAGAACGAAAACTGTTCATTGTAGTTAGGGGACGTCACTAGTAACTAATCAAGGTCACTCCTTTGAGTGTTTGGGGAAGGGATACGTCAGATGTCGACTAGGCAAAGAAACCAGGTAAAGATCTAATTCTTAAGTGAAGTTAGAGGGGAAAATAATTAAAATTGGAGTTTTTTTCAGGGGGTTTTGTTTTGTTTGTATCTTATTACTTTGTTTTGTTTTTGTTTTTCAAAGATGGCAGCTGAAGGATAGGAGCTCTAAATTTAGAGGTACTTTTTCCATGTCTCTAATGTATGTAGGAAACATCCTAGATATTACCATTTTTACTAGTTTAGAATATACTCTTGGAAAGATGTAAATAATTCCCATCTACTTGTACTTTGTGTCACAATTAATTCGACCATTTTAAAAATCATCGTGTTGAAAGTGACAACTTACTTTGTTACTAGGATCGGAAAATAGAAGATCTTCGACAGTGCCTGAACAGGCACAAGAAAATGCAAGAAACAGCAATATTGGCTCAAGGTAAAATAAATAAAAGAGTGTACCTCTAGAGAGATTCCAGCTTTACTCGATTTTAAGTGGCTGTGAACCTAGGCACTCAGCCTCAATTCTGCCCTGGTCTGCATCTATTGTCCAAATCAAGTAGCTCACTCATTCGTCAACAGTATTTATTGGACTGCTGTTCAGTGTGCTGGCTGATGAATGTACAATAGATTGGTTGATCAAGGAGAGCCTATCGAAGGTATTTATTAGATAGCATTCCAGAGCAAGATAATAGTCTGTGTGAAGGGATCTATGGGGGTGAAAGGACTTCGTGTGTTTAAGAAGTAAAAGAAGACCAGGGGGGCTGCAAAATTGTGAGCAGTGGGGAGAGTCAGATATGATAAGAAAGCAAAGAGTAGGTCATGTGAGGGTTTTTAGGCATGATAAGGAGTTTTGCACTTATTCTAAGCACAGAAGCATTAGCAGACCATGGACAGGGGAGAGGGGAGCAGTATTGGAGGCAGGGAAACCAATCAGGAGACTGGCAGTATTCCAAGTGAGAAAAACAGGATGGTACTGATGATACATACATTTTGGTGATAGACTCGGCATGATGCTTGGTATGAGTTACATGAAGGGAAGGAAGGAGAGGATGCTATCAAGAAAAGACAGACATATGGCTAAAGCAGCTCTGTGCTTTACATGATAGGGAACATGATAGAGAAGACAAAAGAATGAGCATCAACAACAACAACAAAAAAAAGAATGAGCATCATGGGGTGGGCGAGGCGGATTGAGCTCAGCTTTGGACACATGCAGTTCAAGACACCTGTTAGGACATCTGCGTAAACATTGTTCTGCATTTGGTTGAAATGTCCAAACCAACTACAATGTTAAGAACTTCTCTCGTAGAACCCCACAGGTGTGCTGCTTCGTTTTAAGGGTGTGTGAGTCGTCCAGTACTTCATTAGCAGAAATACCACAAGCGCAAGGCTTTACCAACCAGGCACCGCTTAGGAGGCCAGGAATTCGAACTCAGTGCACAGCTCCAGGGGGAGGAGGTGTTCGCGGGCTCTCGGGCAGTGGTTCTTAACCTTCCTAATGCCGCCACCCTTTAATACAGTTCCTCATGTGGTGGTGTGACCCCCAACCATAACATTATTTTCATGGCTACTTCATCACTGTCATTTTGCTACTGTTCTGAATCGAGCAACCCCTGTGAAAGGGTCGTTTGACCCCCAAAGGGGTCATGACCCACAGGTTGAGAACCGCTGCTCTAGGGGAAGGTCCTGCCTCTTTCCAGCACCTGTAGGCCTTCACTCGCTGGCTCCTTGGTGATGTGCTCATGTGTCTTGGCCCTCCTCTTCCCCTGTTTGTTCCTTGCTTGATTTATCTTTTCTATCTCGAGAGATAAACTTAAGACACACCCTGTACTAACAATACTGTCACATTATTGTAACAAAGAAAACCCCTTCCCAAATGGGCTTATAACCACAGGTATAGAGATTAGAATGTACAGCACGTAATTGTGGGGGATACATACTTCAGTCCCTAACAAAAGGTAATCACTGGAAATGAGCACATCTTTGCAAGATGCCCCTGAAACACTGATTGTTTGAAATTTCAATTTTGATGAGTTCACAACGAAAGAAACAGAACTCCCTTTGGACTTGGATCTTTTTCTTTAATTGGTATGCCATCTTTTCCTTCACCAGACCTCCGTATATAAAGACAATAAATATCGGAATAAATAGTGAACCTTTAACTCGCAGAGTAATTTGTAGAGATTCTCATCACTCATCATTTAAAAACATTTGTAAATGTGCTTGACATAATGGATGGATGGATGCATTATGATAAGAGCTGTGCAAGCCTCCAATAAAATTTTTTTTTAATTTGTAAAATCGGGAAGGGTAATAATTGTTCATAATGCCACTGACCATGATTATTGCTGACATTTTTTGTCAACTTCATTCTAGTCTTTTTTTTCCTCTCCATGCCCTAAAACATAATGGTTTTTAAGGAAAGAATTTTTAACCATATGCATTGCCAGAGACCATTGATAATTATGTCCTAGTCCGTTGAAGTATGTTAGCAGTGATTATTTACTAGTATTTAGATATATTTTCTTACCCCTCACACACGTCTCTGAAGCCTAAATTCTAATAGAACCCAAATTAAGAAGCTTTGGTTAAGATCTTTAAACGATTGCAAAATTTGCCATTTCGTATTATCCGGAGATTAGTGTCTCAAGCACATTCTTGCTATTTTTAAAAATAGAATATCTGGCACTTTGTTGTTTATCTTTTCCACGTCTAGGCATGTAACAGAACAGAGGCCTCGGAGCCACTGCCTTGCCGAATACTCGGCTGCTTTTCTCTGCGAGGCTGCTCCTTCTGCTTTGAAATCATCTAAAGGGATCCCCTTTCGGGACACAAAGGCCATCTGCCGTTTTTATTTTTTCCTCTCAAAGTCTTCTCAAGAGCACAGCAGTGTTGAAGTTGAGTTGTTTAAATGGTGACTTCTTTGGTGATCCAGCATCTGTTGCTGAAGAACATATATTCTTCCGTCTGATTCTTCTAAACTAAAAGCCCTAGAACAGCGGTTCTCACTTTCCTCATGCCGTGACCCTTGAATACAGTTCCTCACATTTTGTTGCTGCTACTTCATAACTGTAATTTTGCTACTGTTAAGAATCGTAATGTAATATCTGATATGCAGGATGTATTCGGTGACCCCTGTGAAAGAGCCGTTTGACCCCCAAAGGGGTCGCGACCCACAGGTTGAGAACCACTCCTCTAGAGCCTCCATGTTTAAAACCCAATAACAGGAGGATGATTGGACTAAATTAATTTCTAGTTTACTTTCAACCTGGTGAGCCCATGATTATCTCACATATGATTTCCTCTATTAACGCCACTCCTGGTACTCAGCCTGGCCAAGAGACCCCAGTCATCGGGTGCTCACGGCATACGATGCTGTTACCCAGGTTCTGTGTTGTGTGGTTCACAAGTGATGCTACAAAAAATTGGCCTAGATTTTTTTAAGGGCAGCAAAATGTTTGCCTTCAACATAATTGGGAGGCTACTTTCCTCTAAAAGTGAAATGTTGATGAAAAGCTGCTGCGATCCTTTTGTGTTTTGTCTTGTTCTAGGCAGAGATGGTGACTATGAAGATCTGCCCAATTCTAGTTCCATCTCCACTTTGTTGGATGCTCAGGGGTTCAGTGATCTGGAGAACAGTCCCTCGACTACTCCAGTAATGGGATCTCCCAGTCGTGGCCCGGTGAACACCAGTGTTCCAGAGGAGGTACCTGTAGCCTGGCGGTGTTTTCTTCATATGGAAGAGACAGTCATTCAAACTGGAAGCACTGCTGATAATTTGGGGGGTGGGGTGGGGAGGTTCTTGGGTTGTTTTGACTGCTGATTTGATGTGTTCTAGCAATGCATGTGTCCAATGACCTCTCTTTGAAAGGTGTGCGGTTCCCCCCATCCCTCTCTTTAGTAAATATCTTGGGTAGGATCCAAATTGCTTCTGTAATTCAGGAAAAAACATTTGAATCCTTCGATGATAGATGAAGAGGAATAGTTACATCTTAAATATAAGATTACGGTTTGCTTTTTTTTAAGCAGCGAGTAGATAAAGTGAAGTAAAATGAGATTATGTGGATAAATGTGTTGAGTCACTCCAATGGTGACTAATTTTTTTTTTCCCCCTCTAGCCGTGGAAAAAGCAACTGGGGAGAAATAAGCATTTCTTTTACTTTTCCAGAAAACTGGCACGAAAGCCTGTTTCAGTTACCTATTACATACCACCTCAAAATTTTGTGGCTTGAGTGACATTTCTTTTGCTGATAAATCTGTAATTTGGGCAGGGCACGGCAGGAAGATGTCTGAGCCCCACTTGGCATTAGCTAGTATGGCACGAAGACTGTGGGCTGGAGCCATCTGAAGTCATCTCTTCACTCACTTGTGTGGTTGGTGGTTGATGCTGGCTGTTGGCGGGGACCTCCGCTGGAGCCCTGTCTGGAATTACTGCCCACGTCTCCTTGTCCTCTTCACAGTACGGTGACTGTGTCCTAAGGACAAGCATCTTGCGAGGACCTGGCAAAGTCGTATGACCTTTTATTACGAGTTTTCTCAGTAGCCTTACAGCGTATCTTTTGCTGTAGTCCCATCCCAGACTCCAGGCGAGGAAGCCTAGGCCTGGCTTCTTGATGGATGAGTTGACATGTTACACTGTGAGACGGGAGATGGCATGTATTAGTGCAGCTATATTTGAGAAACTGAACCTTCCACTTTACCCTCTAGCCGCAACCATTGTCATCTCTTCACTATGGGAAAATAATCGCATCCCCTCTCAGAGCACCCTGAGGGCCTGGATTCCGCTTCTCATTTTGTACTGTCTCCATCCCTTTTGGTCTAATTTGGTGGTACCGTTCTCTTAAACACTCATCAGATTCCTTATGAAGCAATTTATCATTCACTGCCGGGGATACACTTGTATATTTAAAACATGCCTTCCCCTACCTTAGGTTTTTCAGCTAGTGCTGTGACCCATGTCCTTAAGATTTCTCATCTTTTGATCTGTCTGAAAGGCTCACTGAGGCTCACTACCACCTTCAATCCCCCTGACGTTCAGTCATGTTTTATAGCAACACCCATGGCTTTCACCTAAAGATCATGTTTTCATGACAAAACTTGAGTGTTTGATCTTTGCTCAGAAGTCATTTCTTAATTTTAAAATAATCCACTGTCTGGACAGACTCGGAATTGGAAGCAGTTCTGTTTTTGAACAAAAACAATCTTGGCTCCTTTGTATTTAATAATTCCTGCATTGGCCATCTCTCCTTTCATGTCTTACTATAGGAAGCATAAAGAATCCGTGGCATCTTTTTAAAAAAAATATCTGCTGCTAGTAATGATAGTATTAGCAAAGAAATTCAATGAGAAAACAACTTTTCTCTATTAAACATAGGAGAGAGCTAAAATGTATAATTAAAATTACAAAGAATTACTGTGTTGGATAGGGTTCTCTAAAGAAAAAAAACCAAGACACTCATGATTTTAGATAGGTAGCAGTGTGGTGAAGCAGGTCTTAAAGGAACCTCAAACTATAGTGACACAGTCCGCTGGTTGGGTGTCCCAGAGGTAGTGTAGCTCACAAGTTGAGGCAGAGAACTAGCTAAGGCAGCCACACACTGGTCAGATCAGAAAGCAAGAGACAGAAAGATGAGGCTCGCCAAGCCATTTATCTCCCTGCCCTTAATTAAGCTGAACCTTATTAATCCCACATGTGTTTATTGGCCAGCTTGGCACAATAAACCTACCTATCACAATTACTTAAAGGAATAAAGAATGTTTCAGAAGGAAAACATCTTCCTAATTGTTAAGTACCTGTTTACACTGAAGTGAAAATAACAGGTGATAGCTCACATGTCCTGGGGGAGGGGCTGGCGCGGGGCTGCTGTGACATTTATGAGACACCCAGGTAACCTCATACCCTTAAAAAAAAGTCTTTGCTGTGCACATTGACTTTTACAGATGAGGGTTTTACTTGGAACAAAAAGTGTTTGGTGAGGACTGAAAAAGCTCTGCCATGTTTATTTTAAAAGAAGATCCAGGAGGGAGATGTACAGTTAAGTTAAAGCTCTGAAGGAGTCTATAACAAGATCAAGAACGATAAGACGGTCTGCTTCTTTACAGATTTACGGTTGGAAGCCGTAAGGAGCAGTTGTGCTCTGTTGGGTAGGGGCTGGGAGTTAGAATTGCTGTGATGGCCGTGAGCTTGGCCGTGAGGGGCGTCTATTGCTGCATGTTGTTACGTGCTGGCAAGTTGGTTCTGACTCACAGCACCCTGTGTACAAGGGAATGGAACACTGACTGGCCCTGGCCCATCCTCACGATCGTTGTTAGCGTTGAGCCCATTGTTGCAGCCACTCGTGTGAGTCCATCTCTGGAGGGTCTTTCAGTGTTTTATTGCCCTTCTACTCTACCAGGCATGGCGCCCTTTTCCAGGCTCCCCCATTAACAAACCCAAAGTAGCTGAGATGAAGTCTCACCCTCCTGTTCTAAGGAGCATTCCGGCTGTGCTTGTTGCTAAGACAGATGTGTTTGTTCTTAGGACAGTCCATCTTTTTTGCCAGCCCCATAATTCAAATGCACTGATCCTTCTTTGGTCTTCCTTCTTCAGTGTCACAATATGCAGTGTCGGATGCAGAACCAAGGCCAAAGTTGCCCACCTGTCTCTGATCGGCACTTCTTCTATGTCGATTTTCATATTCTGAAATTATTTTTACAAATGTAATACAGTTATGGATACGAGTATATGAAATGTTGCTGCTAGATCTTTTTTTAATTGTCTTGCTTTTTGTTACTCCGTGGCTTGTGTTTTGATTGTTTTAACTTTTTGTATTTATATGACAGTCCCACAGCAGCATGTTGCAAGTCTCAATCCCTTCGTTGCTGCCGGCATCTAAAGGCTTGGAAACCTTCGAGAGAGCAAAATTGTCTTCTAAACTAGAGACTTCATTTGAAGAGAAGTATGTCATGTGTTGACCTCACACTAGGGTATAAATGCTCAAAATAGCAGATCAACCCAAAATAAGGTTGCATTGCGTTTACTAGCAAATGCAGTTTTTAGCCAGAAAAACAGGAAACAACCAGGCACGGGCCAGAGGAATGGTGTTTAGTTCCAAATTGTTAAAGTAAAAAGTGTGCTGAAAGGATCGAGTTGGAAAATCCTGAATAAAGTTGGAAGGGGAGCCGGGAGTTTGAAGCAAAACTAAATAACGTGAAAAAGACATGACTTGCTGCTCAGCTAGACCCCCTGTCTGATGGAGACCCTGAGACTCTGGCCACCGCTCAGCCACCGCTCACGGCTGCATCTGAACTCACCCCCATGGCTCAGTTTTCAGCCAAATAACTAGCAAGTCTATTAGCACAGTAACCCAAGGGCAGTACACACACCTTAGAGTAATCCACCATTTGAGGTCAAAGGGGAAGCAGATGCCCAAGGACAAGGTGTGGAGGAGCTAAGAAGGGCGGAAGAAGGGAGGGGAAACCCAGGGAAGAAGGCGGGTAAGTGATACTGCTTTGTGGGGATGGCAGCCAATGACATGACGCAAAGTACGCAGGGGTTTTGGAATGGAAAACGGATTTGCTTGGTAACCCGTCACTGGATTCATAACAAAAAACTTTTAAAAATGAAAGATGTGAAGTAGGACCGAAGAAGATATGATGCTGTCAAATTGGAGTAGTCAGGTTAGAGTAGGGTTTTTTTTAAGAATTAAGATTCTCTAGTAGAGTTAAGTCTCTCTATTCAAGGGTTGTAGCAGGATCGTAGTAACGGCCATGTGGACGACGGCTGTGCAGGAGACAGGACTGAGTGATGGAATTTCCTTCTTAGGCACATATAATTTCTTGCCAATATATTTCCCAAATTGATTGCCTTATCCTATAATTAGGCTAAATAGAATACAATAGCACGAAAAGATAAATAACTCACTTTGCATGGTTTTTGTTCTTAGTAATTATTTTCACCCACAGTATCTATTGACTTTTATTCATGTGATTATTTTATTTATTTTATGTTTTAGTGATGAAAAAATAATCCTTGGGGCTGAAACCCAGCTGTGTGATACTGCTCTGTAAGTCTGTTTTACCAAATGGGAAAGCTGTGACCGGGTGTCGGAAGGGAGGAGGGTTCCCCTAGATGAACAGGAATCAATATTAGCAGTGAATGACATTGAGATTGGAATGAGTCCGTGACTGAGTGAGGACAGCGGTGGCAGGGAGCTGTAAACTTACACAGAAGTGAATCCAATTGCCGTTTGGGTAACTCTCCAGCTCAGGACCACCCAGGTGTGTCAGGGTCGAATGGTGCTACGTGGGGTTTTACTGGCTGATTATTCAGAAGCTGGATCACCAGGCCTTTCTTCCAAGGTATCTCTAGGTAGACCTGACCTGCCACCTTCCGGCTAGCAGCCGAGCATGCTGACTAGTCTCGCCACGTAAGGGCTCCACTAAAAAAAAACAAAAAACGCTTGCTCGTGTATTATTTCCCCATAATGCCAAGCGTCAGCCCTCCATCATCCTTGTCTATATGTGAAGCCCCAGGCCTTTAACTGAATTTTGAGACTGGCCTATATTTTGTCTGCAGTAGAAAAGACTCACAGTGGATGATGTCATGAGTGGAAAGACTGAAATGTACTTTTGCATTTTCAGTTGAATAAACTGACCTAATATCTGTTTATCCAAGTAGAAGTCTGGATTAAATTAGGAAGATCTATTTTCAGCACAGCACTCAAAGATGAGGTTGTTTCTTTGACTTTATTTGGTAACTGACAACCTCTAACAACTTATATACATATCAATACGCAAAGCCTTTTTTTTTTTTTGGGGGTCAAGAACAGACATTGCTTTTCTCTCAGTGAATTAGGGTTGAAGTCTGAATTTAGGGGGCCTGCTATAGGAGAAGGCTCCCTCTCGTCATCAACTGTCTTCTTCAGCTTCCGTAGCCCCAGGGTTCCTAAGCAGTCTGTAGGTAGCATGTTTCCTCCATTTGCCCTTGCTAATTTGTCCCCACCCCCAAACAGTTTTATTGGCATTTAAGTCTCACATCATACCACCCAATAGTTCAGTCGCATCAGGAACAGTTAGCTGTACAGTCATCACCACCATTGGTTTTAGCCCCCATCTCCTCCCCTGCCTTACCCCCAAGGAACCATTAGTGCAGTTACTGTCTCTGTAGATCCACCCATCCTGGATTTTAGACACAGAAAAACATTAAAAAACAAACCAACTCACAAGAATAAGAGAGTAAACCAGTTGAAAAAACTCAATAAAAAAAAAAAACCATTGAAAACTAGAACAAATATAAGAGTTTGTGTGCATATTTATATTAACCTGTTTCATAGAACAGACGGGTTCGTTCATTCATTCTCTCGTTATTCTCCCCATCCCCATCCCCCTCTCCCTCTCCTACCTCACTCCCTTTCCCAGGGTCATGCTCACACTCTCTCTCCCTTTCCCTCTCTCTTTCCCTGTCCTTCCCTTCCCGTCTCTCTCCTCACCCCTTCTACCTCTCCCTCTCTTTTCTAAACTGATTATACCAGCCTGCTGTCAGTTTGGGAGTGGGCCAGCCCTGTGTAACTGAGTGCTTATTAGGTGAAAGAGAAAGTCTCCACTTGTTTACAGCCTTGTTTTGCCATGAGAGGACAACAAATGAGTTAATAGGGGAAGCCACAGAGACTCCTCTCCCGGGCTTTGATTACAATTGTCAAGTGAATTGCTTTGCCAGACACAGAAAATGGATTCCTTTGTGAATTGAAAAGTAAAACTTTGGATTTTTATTTTACTTAGAAGGCCTCTGAATAGATTTTTAAGTTTCTTGGATAAATGTGCACAGTCTAAGCACACTCTGACAGTACACGGAAAACGCTGGTATATTTTCAAATATTTAACATCACAATGACAGTGCTAAGTATTTTTCCAGCTCTTCGAACATGTGCAGGACATTTAGAGCTGTTGGCAGGACGGGCAACCACCCCAGCTTTTAAAAGGACTCAATGTTATAATTTAGTTAAGCACATAAGTGACTGCCTGAATCCAGATTTTTTTCTTTTATTGCCACGATTCAACCCACACACAAATTTAGTTTCTTTCCAAGATGTTCTACTGAGGAACAGTGGCACCAGAGTCACTTAGTATTAATCCCAATTCTTCTTCTTGTTATTTTTAGAACTTCGAGTCTCCAAAAGTCCACCAGCCTGGGCAATCTGAAGACAGAGACAGCCGACGGGGTGGGTTCGATGCTTTTTTCCTTCTTTCTGTTAGAAGCAAACACTGATGGCTCTTCATCGTTTCCCATGGTGCAAATAGAACTCCTAAGAAGAGTTTGTGGTGTCTGTCGATGGACTGAATGAAGTGTTAGGTGCTATGGTTAATGATCGATTTTAAGAAGTATGAGTAGGAAGAATTAAAAGCAGCATGTGAAATACAAAATCCCAAAGTGGGATGCTGTATAATGAGGCATTGTAGAAAGCAATGAAAGTGAATTTTGGAGCTTTACAGTAATTTTTTTTTTAATTTATGGAGTTGTATGTGACTGATTCTGATTATATGAAGGATTCCTACAACCTTAAATATTATTGTTGTTGTTTTGAACAGGAAAAGGAGTCTGTTCAGAAGCCTCCAGAGGTAATTCTTATTATAATGTAGAAATGTCTTAGACTCCTAATATGGGCCGGTTGTTTCAGTAAAGCTACAGTGGGGGGGGGGGGGGCTGGGGGTCCTCAATCATTCTACTTACCTTCCCAGTGGTCACAACTGGCCTTCCTTAGTTGTTGTTAGCCGCCACTCTGGGCTCAGACTCATGTTAGCTGTCACCCAGTGGTGCCCTTAACAGAACAACACGTTTCTTGTTCTGTCCTCACACCCACCACCCTGGGAATGCTGACTCCGTTGTTGCGGATGCTATGTATTCTGGGTGTCTTCCAGCCTAGTGGATTCATCTCTCAGCACTACATTGGACAGTAGCCTACTATGAACCCTAGGTTTTCACTGACTGATTTTCCGAAGTCGATAGACCTTTCTTCCTAATTTACTTTACTTCGAAGCTCTGCCCATTATGGAGGTCCCTGCCACTCTCTGAAACATTGGTGGCAGTGTCCTAGACACACACAAGGCACCACAGTACAAAAAACTCCACAGGTTTTGGGACCAGCATTACCAAAAGCTCACTGCCATCGAGTCCATCGGGACACATAGCAAACCTCAGTAGGGTTTCTGAGGCTGTAAATGTTTGTGCAGGTCCCCTGGTGATGAAGTGGGTTATGTGTTGGGCCGCTAACCTCAAGGTTAGCAGTTCAAATCCACCAGCTGTTCCATGGGAGAAAGATGAGTCATTCTCCTCCCGTAAAGAGGTACGGTCTCAGAAACCCACAAGGACAGTTCTTCCCTGTCCTGCAGGGCCACTGTGTGTCAGAAATAGCTTGATGGCAGTGCGTGATACCCTAAGATGCTAGGAACCCCTAGGTTCCACTCTCTCAAACAGATGATTTGATAGCAGTGGAGGGTTTTTTGTTTTTAATCTTTGTGGGAGCAGACGGCATCATCTTTCTCCCATGGAAGAGTAGTTGGTGGGCTTGGGCCACTGACTTTAGGTTGGCAGCCCGGCACATCCGATAGTGCCACCAGGGCTCTGTAACCTGCCTTGGTCTTCACAAAAAATCCATCTTAGATCGCCACCAATTTGTTTTATACAACCAGGGCCCATTTGAATAAGGTGACCAGACGTCCCGCTTTTGGCAGGACAGTCCCAATTATTAACAAGTTTTCCCGTGTCTGCAGCATTTTTAAAAAGTCCCGGTTTTTTGAAAGAATGCACGACAAGCTAGGGTACAGTTTTCGGCTGCCACGTGGCTAGTTTGCCAGGATATGAGTTTTATTAATGGTGTCCCGCTTTTGTCCCGCTTTACCAATGTTAAAATCTGGTCACCTTACATTTGAAGCAAACATTTGTGAGTCGGTTGGCTATTGTTAAGTCATCATCAACAGGTGATCTGATTCTTCTTCACTCCGATTTTACCAAGAGATTGTCCGAGGGCGATCTCTACTGCCCTTGTTAAGGTTACAGTTGGTGGGTTTTGACTCTTGACTACAGGTTTCTAGGGCCTAAGTCATGATGTGGCCGTAGCCGACAAAGCACTGTGGTCACCGCTGTAATTAAAGTTAGCCTCTGTCCTTTTTGTCTTGCCGGTGCAATAAGGGGTTACTTGATTTTAGCATGACTGTTTAGACATAGATAATGGAACCACTGAATTGCAGCACGTATAAATGATTAGGACAATAGACAGGTAGAGAAGAATACAGAAACCAACAAAGTCACTGCCAGCGTTGAGTCTGACCCTTAGAGACCGTATAGGAAGGACAGGCTGGAACTGCCCGTGGGTTTCCAAGGCTGTAACTCTTCACAGGAGTAGAAAGCCTTGTCTTTTCCCTATGTAGTGGCTCGTGGTTTTAAACTGCTGACCTTCTGGGTAGGAGCTCTATGTCACTAGGGCTCCTGAATTGTGGAATAGCCCCTTAAAGACCTGTGTCCTTTGGCCCTTTGCATGACCTCTTTCCCAGAAACCGAGGGTAAGAGACATTCTAGAAATGACAGCATGCAAACAAAAGCATGTTTCTATAATGCTAAGACAATCTCGAACCAGCCTATTCCCATCACGGCCAATTCCAAGTCACTCCAGGGCTCAGAGCAAGCAGTGTTTGAAGCGAGGTTCAGTCCCAGCGGATAGAAATCTAAGGTGGCTTCTGAAACAACGAAGAAGCATTCGATCGGTCAAGTTTGTATTTCAGGGTATTACGGTCTTTTTTAATTGGTCATCCTTGATTGTTTACCTGCAGGCAAGCCTTGAATATACTATCTTAGAATCCACGAGAAAAAGAAAACAAAACAAAAGACCGCTTTAAGTAGTTAGCGATTGTGCCTCCATGATATTATATTGAGCTTTGATTAAAGTGGCTATTTTCTTAGGAACCTGAGCTGTATTTTAGGCGGCCTTGTGCCACGTTGTTCTTTATGTAGGTAATGCCTTGTGTCGTGTCCTGCACGTGTGAAGGCACGTGTGAAGATGCTCAGGTCTCGGCCGCAAGGCCGGGTGATGCCCCCTTCTGTTGTGCACCACTCAGCTGCTCCTCACCAGCAACAATAACAGCACTCTTAAGTATTTGAAGCCCCAAACACTTTAATACAAGATTACCTTCGAACATGTTGCTGTCTTTTAAATAACTTTCAAAAATTATTGGATAAATGCCATTATCTTTTCATTCCATTTGTCCATCAACTTTTGGAGCCTTCCCCGCCCTGGTATTTGCTATTGGCAATCAGTGTGTTAGCCTAGTTATTCTTTTCAGCGAAACCCTGCACGTACGATTTATCATTGGGCCTGGCACCCAGTACTGTGTGGTACGTGTGTATCCGTGCTGTCTGGCATGTATGTCTATGCCCTCCGGGTCATCATTCAGGGGCCCCGGGGGCGTTGTGGGCTAAGGGGTGGGATAGAGGGTCACTGCGTGTGTTGGGAGCGACCTGATGGCTGAGGGTTTGGGTCTCTGGGTCACTGTGATTGTTTATCTTGCAGAATAAAGCGCCAGGAGAAAGCAGCACCTTTGGAAGTCTCCCTCCCCAAGCTCCGGGACACGGCGCCACTGCGGATGACAACCCCTTTGGCACACGAAAAGCCAGGTCTTCCTTTGGCCGGGGCTTTTTTAAAATAAAGAGCAACAAGAGGACAGTGAGCGCGCCTAACTTGGGTACGTCGGGCCTGCCTTCATGCTTTCACCCTGGCGACCAGACTGCTCTGTTGCCCTGCCCGTGCCCATCTGCTTCTAAGTTTGGGGTTCGCGGTCGTGAGGTGAATAACCCCCATAGCCGTGGGCCTAAGTCCCTCGGTTCTGTGAACCCAGCCCCTCACCCGGCTCTGCCCTGTGGGGTGACCTCTGCGGGAAGAGTAGCTGCAGCGCCACCCCCCACCCCCGCCCCCTCCCCCGGACGTCACTGTGCGGCGGATGCCCGTCTGTGTTGATGGTGGGTCAAGGAAGCCTGTGTGTTCTCACCAGAGGCCCAGCGCCCGGTGCGTGCCTTTGCTCACTGTAGCTTCTGTGAGCTAGAGTTTGACCCGTGTTTCATTTTGTCATTCATTCATTCCCTTGTGTTCTCTCCATTGGGCTGCGTGTGATTGTGTGCGTTGTTGGGATTTCTGAAGACCGTACGCGAAGTGCCAGTGCACCCACCTTAGGTACCGTACCCCTGCATGCCAGCCTGGCCAGCGCTGTGCTCTGAACCAAGCTAACCTTGCCCTTGGCGTTTGTGAGCTCTAGGAAGGGAGCCGGCCTCAATCCGGAAAGAGCGTCCTGGTTTCTTTGAAAACCAAGAGTGTTTGTTCCACGCACCTTCTCCTTGGCAAGGACTCTCTGCCCAGTCTCTGCTTCCACCCTTTTCACCTCTGCTGCTGAGCCTTTGTGAGGGCATCCGAGAGGCCTAGACACACACAGCATCCTCAGAGGCGTGAAAGGCAGAAGTGCTTGGCGTTGTCAAGGTCACCGTGCACCGACTCCCAGGTCCCTGTAGTCCTGCTTCTTGTGCATGTCTCCCGGAGAGCTCCAACCAGAGTAGCCATCGGCTGAGAGCAGAGCCTTGTAGTAAACACTGAAGGTGCTACTTATAGACTTTTTTTCCTCTTAAGGGGATGTTCTATGACTTTTTGTTGCATCGAAGATGGAAATACTATTTAGTGACATCAGAAGAAACTTGATCCATTGTCTGAAGAGTCCGTTTTAAGTTAAATGAGTGAGGAAAGGCCCTCCTTAGGTTCCAAAGGGCTTTTAGGGGATGAGAAGCTCAATCTTGTCCTTTAAAGGGAGAAACCACTATCGGGGAGTGGAGCTCCTGGAGGGAACTAAACCACAAAAAGACAAGACTGAATGCTTTTAAAATGAGGGTGAGCTCAGCAACGTTTTCAGGTGTATCTTTTCCCAGCAGAGCTGGGGGCTTTTATTTGAAAAGGTCCTTGGGATTTCCTTACCTTAAAAAACAAACAAACAATGTCCATGAATCTTATTCACCGGAGTCAACATGGGAGCGCTCTCTTTGTGGTCTTAAGCTTCTGAAGGATGACTAGAATACAGCTCTGCTCAGGTACCGATGCGCACCTGTTTTCGCACCTCCCTTCAAAGACATGTATCGTCAATGCTAAGAGGCGAGTGCTGCTTACTGTAACCCATAATCACAGCTCTGCTTTGTAGAAAGTCAGCCTCTGCAACTTTTCTGTCTTGCTGAAACACTGTACTGGTGATTTTTGTGCAATTTTTACTTCACTTTGTACACTGTAAAATACCACATTGAGAAAGTGGTCGTTTTTATGTTTCTTCGTCTGGGTTTATTCACAAGGACAGCAAAAAGAACTGAAATGGCTAAGGATTGGGGTGCCGGGAGTAGCAAGATCATCAGACACTAATTTCATATCAGAAGGAAGTCCGATGCAGCCCCTCCTCCGCCCCGTGCCTCCGACCGCTGAGGGGTTTCGTGGATGAAGCATTGCCCCCACTGAGTGGATGTGACATGCAAGGGAGAAAGGAATGGCAGGATTTGAATTGTAGTGACAAGGAGGATATTCATTAATTTTATGAACTGTTGAATGAAACATTCATTAATTGTTAAGTGAAATCTGAGAGAAAGACTCACAGAGAAATTGGATGGATCTTTTGGGGGGGGCAGGAGCCTTTTTTCTTTCTTTCTTTCTTTTTTGGGGGGTCTAACATGTACCCAGCACATTGAGAATATGCAGAGATATTCAGAGACGGAGGATTCTCAACCCAAAATTTTGCTGCTACCTGCTTAGGAGTTAGTAAAGCATCATGTTGCGGTGGCCTTGGGTGACGTGAGCTTATCAAGAGATCCTGCAGCGAGAATTTACAACAGAATCTTGGGAGGAATTTAAAGTGGGTTAGAGGAAGAAGAAAGGTGAGGAAACCGCAGCATAGAAGAAACTATGCCGAGAGTTCTAAGAGTGTCCTAGCAGCGTGCGGCCGCAGGAGAAGAAGCCTGGCACTCTGCTCCAGTAAAGCTCACAGCCGGGAGTCCCCGTGGAGCAGCTCTGCGCCGTCATGTAGGTCACCTGAATCGAAATCACCTTGAGAGCAAACAAGTTAGTCACATAGCACCAAGGACCACAGCAAGACTGAGAATAAATTCACTGTGCATTCTAACCACCCCAGGAAAGAATATGGCCATTTTAGCTCACCTTTGCTTCATAACTCAAAGTGATTTAAGTTATAAGTGAATCAACTCTACACAATAGTAGGCTATCGACCATAGAATAGTCCATAAAGTTGTTTTCCATGTTGGACACGTGTAGATCACGAATTTGTAGACCTGCAGAACCAGAATGCCTTAAACGTTGCTAGAACCAAACAGGTTAAGATTGAGACATGTCTGCCTCACACTCTTTAGTTCACTGAGGCTTTTCCTCTGTTCTTGGAATAGCTGAAACAGAAAAGGAGGCGGCAGAACACCTAGACCTGGCAGGTGTGTCTCCTCATTCAAAAGACTCACGGGGAAGCAGCCCCTTCCAGATAGCTCCACCATCTCCGGACTCCAAGAAGAAATCCAGAGGTATCATGAAACTCTTTGGAAGGTAAGCAAACGATTGGACATCAGGAGTGGTCCTTGTATAATATCTTGCTTAAATTATAGAGCAGGGAGAAATAGAAAATTGCATGAAATGGAGTATAAAACTCTAAGCCTTTTGTGGGCTTTTTGTGGAAAGAATATTGTTAGTTGGTACTTATGAAGTCATTGGGTCTTTGTTGAGATTTAGATGGATATGTCTACATACAGGAATAGCGAAAAGGTATGTGCTAGTTTAAAATGCTTAACTCCGGTGTCTCAGCGCTCCTCAGATTATAAATTATGACCTTCTGTATTGTGCCTTCTGTTCAGACTTAGGCGGAGTCAGTCAACCACATTCAACCCAGATGAGATGTCTGAGCCTGAATTCAAAAGAGGAGGGACGAGGGCAACCGCAGGACCTCGGTTGGGTTGGTCTAGAGATTTGGGACAATCTCACAGGTAAGAACGGCCAGATTGAAAGGGCTGATGCGTTTCTACCCATGTGTGGAGACCCCATGGGCAACTGCAGTGTTAGGATCACTCTTGAGTTAACAAAGTCGTTGCTCACTGCCATGTCTGCTCAAAGGGGCCATGACATTGAAAGTGGTGCGACTTGGCCATGAGTGGTGAATGAGAGGAGAGCTGGGTGAAGGAGCTCGTACTAGGGATTCAACAGCAATAGTATTAGGCTCTTGGACTTAAATTCTGGGTGGGACATAGTCTAACTAATCTAGAACTGAGCTCTGGAGAAATGGAATCATGTCGTGGTTAAGATGACAGGTTCTAGAGTCAGACTGTTGGTATTTGATCTCTGGCCGTATCACTTCCTACAAGCCGGGTGACCGGGAACCACCACTTGAGATTCTGTCCCCCTGTTTTCTCATCCTAATAATTAGTACTTCCTCCACAGTGTAGTGTGAACGGTCAATGAGTTCATGTGTTCATGTGTACTGACAGATAAAAAGTGTGCGATAAATGTGAGAGCATTTATAGGTAATACATTTTATCAAAAGTCTTAAGTGTATCAAGACTGTTTAAAGTAATGTGTTCACTTTTTTTCTTCTTCGTAAGACTCTAAGAACTTTTCCTACCCTCAGTAAGAAGTTTACTGCTCCACAGAACTAAAAGGAGGGGGTTGGAAAACATATAGTACAAGGGTCTGTTACCAAAACTTTTAGTGTTTTTGTTTTGTTGTTGTTACCAAATCTTTTGAATGTAATTTGACAATGAACTTTGGGAAAAAGCCTTTTAAACACAGTCGTTCCCCCATGGGTGGAACACGCAATACAGTTTCCAGCAAGCAGGAAGCTCCCCTGGGCTTCTTCAAATACTAGTCAGGCTTATCCATCTGTTCTCTGAACACAGTAGAAGAACCGCTTAGGCTGTTATAAAAAATTTTTTTAAAGTATTCATCCTCATATCTGAAAAACAAAAACTGGGAAGGGGCAATATTTGTCTAAATAAAAGAAAATAGAAATGTATTTTAATTGTTTTTCCTGTACCCGGTAATGGCGTATTACTCTATTCTCATCCAGGTAGAAGCCATTATTTTGACAAAGTTAATTCCAGTTAGACCTGTGTTTCTTTTAGTCTGGTTCCTTTTTGAGAATCCAATCTTTGGAAGATATTGGTTGAAACTAGTACAATGACTTTTTTCAGTTCAACGAGGGTTGTTTTTTTTTCTAGAACAGAGTTATTTTATGGAAATAAAGATTAGTTTTAAAAGGTAACTTTCGGCTGCAGTACTACTTCCTTCTGAAATCTATGTCTAAGTGTTAAACTTTATGGTCAAATGTGGGTCGCTGGGGACTTTCTGGGTAAGGCTAGCAAGTGGTAGCTATTGATGAACATGAGGTTGACTGAGAGTGTTCATTCTCCTGTAGTGACTTGGACATGCCATTTGCCAAATGGACCAAGGAGCAGGTTTGCAGCTGGCTCGTAGATCAGGGCTTGGGCTCCTACCTGAACTCCGGCAAGCACTGGATTGTGTCTGGCCAAACACTCTTGCAGGCTTCTCAGCAAGATCTAGAGAAGGTAACTACTCAACTACTTTGTTTAATTAATGGACACGTCAGCCACTGGACTGTTTTTATGAAAAATAATTATATAGTCATCATAATAAGCCTTAAGGGGATTTTTCTCAAAATAATTAGGTGGCTTTGTTATGAACACAGCTACTCACATGTGGTGAATGTAACTCAGCTTCACTTTGCAAGCCAGCCAAGCTCTGCCCCGCGGTGAGGGCGTCCATCCTGAGGCACAGGAGCTTCGGAAGACAGGGTAGCTCCACTGCACAGACTTTCCTAGACCATAAATCTTTAAATCATTTTATTGGGGGTTCTACAGCTCTTATGACATTCCATACATCAATCATATCAAGCATATTTGTACAGATGTTGTCATCTTCATTTCCAAGATATTTTCTGCTTGAGCCTTGGTATCAGCTCCTCTTACTTCCCTTCCCCCCCACCCTCGGCCATCCTTCATCAATTACATATTGTTAGGACCATAAATCTTTATGGAAGCAGACTGCAGGCATCTTCCTACCACAGAGCAACAGGTGGGTTTGATCTGCCAACCTTTAAAAGTTAAACCACCTGGTGCTTAACCCACGCCACCCCCGGAGCCCTTTTGATTGCGATGGTGGGTGGAGGAAGAGCTGTTCATTTCGTATCCTTGCATCCTCTGCCAAGGCCCCAGCCTGTATTGACAGAACGGCAGCACAAATGTTTCTGTTTATTCTTCCAGGAACTTGGGATCAAGCATTCGCTTCATCGAAAGAAGCTCCAGTTGGCATTGCAAGCGCTGGGTTCCGAGGAAGAAGCAAATCACGGGAAGCTGGATTTCCACTGGGTCACTAGTAAGAGGTTTTCACTCACCATCGTCATAGCAAGAACTGCTGTCTGCTTTTCTTTTTAATTGCGAGATCAAGTTTTGCGCGGCATGATGTCAACCCTGATTTCTCTGCGCTAGGATGGCTGGATGATATTGGACTCCCGCAGTATAAGACTCAGTTTGATGAAGGAAGGGTCGATGGTCGGATGCTGCATTACATGACCGTTGTAAGTAACTCTCCTGGGACTGAGGGTAGTCCACCTCCCCGCCCCCCCCCCAAGAGTTAAAAGAATAAGCAAAGTGCATTTCCCCAGTGACGTCAGGAGAGTTTGAAGCGACTGCTTTCGCATGTCCGTGAGAGGCAAGATGGACTGCAGGAGAAGCTTGTTCCGGATTCCCTTGTTGTATTACTGTCCTCCTTAATTTACTTTTGCCCAGTTGGCCCTCTGTGAGGGAGGCAATGAACTTAACCGCTGAAGGCACCTTCTTCTTCTTTTTTTTTTTTTTCCATCTTAATTAATTAATTAATTAATTTATTTTTAAACATTTTATTAGGGGCTCATACAACTGTTATCCCAATCCATACACACATCAATTGTGTAAAGCGCATTTGTACATCATTTCTAAAAACATTTTCTCTCCATTTAAACCCCCGACATTAGGTCCTCATTTTTCCCCTCCCTCCCCGCTCCCCCCTCCCGCATGAGCCCTTGATAGTTTATAAATGGGTATTTTGTCATATCTTGCCCTGTCCGACTTCTCCCTTCATCCACTTTTCGGTTGTCTGTCCCCCAGGGAGGAGGCCACACACAGTTCCATGTAATCGGTTCCCTCTTTCCTACCCATTCTCCCTTTACCCTCCCTGTTTTGCCACTCACACCACTGGTTCTATAGGGCTCATCCATCCTGGATTCCCTGTATTTTCAGTTCCTATCTGTACCAGTGTACCTCCTCTGGTCTAGCCAGTCTTGCAAGATAGAATTCGAGTCATGGTAGTGGGAGCGGGGAGGAAACCTTTAGGAACTAGAGGAAGGTTGTATTTCTCATCATTGTTACATCGCACCCTGACTGGCTCATCTCCTCCCCGAGACCCCTCTGCAAGGGGATCTCCAGTGGGAAGGCACCTTCTTCTTTCAGTAAATGGAACGTTTCGAACAGCTAACTTAGAGATTTTTCAAAATCAACGAAGTTTGGAGTTTAATTCATGGGGCTTTTTTTTCCTCACCCTCTCTTTCTTCTTTCTCCTTTGAATCAAAGTCCTTACACTGATGGGTACATCATATAAACCTGCATGTAATAGTTAAAACTTACCGCGTGTTGCACAATTATGATATGCCTGATGCCCTTTGAGGAGCCCTGGTGGGGTAGTGGTTATGTGTTCAGCTGTGACTCACATGGTTGGCAGTTTGAAACCACCCTCAGCTCCGCAGGGTGGTGGGGTAGTGGCAGGGTGCATGGTGGGAACTACACTTTCTACTCCGGTAAGCCGTGACAGCCTCGACAGCCCACAGGGGGGCGCCATGAGTCAGCATGGACTTGATGGCAATGACTTTGCATTTTTGAGATGTTTTTCTAAACACTTTGTTCAAATTAATCCTCAACCACCCTTTGAATGACTATTATTGCTATTCCTACTTCTGGGTGAGGAAACTGAGGAATCACGAATCTGGGTATCCACCGAGGTTTGGCAGTCAGAACGTGATGGAGCACTTAAACGTGGGTGTCTGTCTCTCAGCCCCTGCCCTCACCCTGTCACTGTTTGGCCTGAAAGGACTCAGCCAGTACTTGCTCGCAGACCCCAGTTTGAGTAGGTGCAGGCTTTTAAGCTCACCAGATACACGTGTCTAACTTTTAGGAGCATAGCAGAGTAAATGTCCTTGGAAAGTTTGGCCTCTGAAGTCCTTTAAGCCACAAAGAGGCTGTTTTAATTTGATGCCCTAGATTGGATCACAGAATAAAGAATCTCCGTGATATAACTCATGAAGTCTGTAGTTCATTGTACTGTTGTCTATATGGATTTCTCTATTTCCATAAATGTATCGTTGTTCGAGAAGGTGCTGACATTAAGGAAAGCTGGATGAAATATATAGAGACTCTGTATTTCTCTTTTTATTTTGTAAAGATACATTATTTCCACCCATCTTTTTCCCTGGATTTCATATAAACACAACGACAATCCTGTTTTTTCATAGTAATACTTTAAACGATTCGGTACCAAGCCCACCCTCGGCCATCCTTCATCAATTACATATTGTTAGGACCATAAATCTTTATGGAAGCAGACTGCAGGCATCTTCCT